AATTAATTCTATAACTCGAGTCTTGGTCTGAAACACTAGTCTGTAATATAAAAATGTATGTAGGTAAATCTTTAGTGTTGTTCTGTTGATCTTCATTATTCAAAACATTTAACAGAAAGAAATTTCGATAATGGTTCGATAAGACCCAAGATATCGTGATACGTCTGTAAAGTCTGACCTACCGAAAGATGGCTAAAAGAGACGTTAATTACATACTTATACATGAAACCTCTTGTTTTATGTAAAACCACTCGATGTAAATTAGAGTGCCGATGCTGGTGTACCACAGCCTGAAAGCAACCACAGTCGCAGAATCGACTTTGCGAAGTTTTCAGTTTATCACAATGTCTTAAATGCGAGATGAAGACGAAACGGGATCCTTTAAGCGGAATGACGTTTTAACATGACACCATTTAAATATATGAATAACCTGTTCCTTTTGGATCTTACCACTGTGTTCATAGCCATAAGACTCTCAACTACACCTGGCGACCAGTTGCAGACGATTTAAACTACCTCTGAATTATACTAACATTTTAAGAACATACTGAAGTCCAGTGAAGCTTAGCCGAAACGTCGGTGCTGATCAATCAACTGACGAATTAACTTTTATGCATTGTGTAAAGTAAACCCATTTTATGCTGTTTCCAGTACGACCACCAATGCATAAATCAAATACTCTATATCTGGATAAATCGATTTTTACGGGCCATATCGAGTATATTTGTGAACTTTCATTTAATCGGTTTACTCTTTCGTAGAAAGTGACTGATATGACCACGGAAGATAGATCCAGTGTAAATGAAACGTCTGAGAACTAGCATATCATATTATTCTGTGACGTCAGCCCATAAAGAGTAATGTGATGAAGAACAGTTCACGAAATGAACTGATGTAAAATTCAAGCAACCATGCTTTCTTAAATCGCCGTCAACAGCAATGAAGAGTTTAGATCAATAGTTAATAGTTAATCCCCGGTGGAAGAATTAGGGAAAATAATTTTAGAGGTTTATTTTGCGCTGTTGTTCGAAAGGAGCTACAGTACAACGGAAATGAACTATTCGAGCGCTCGATGGAATACCAGCTCCCTCTATGCATCGTCTTCGTAGACTTCGAAAAACCGTATGATAATATGAACGCAGTGTGAACTGCACAGGCAGAAGAGGACAATGACAACCGTTAAATCAACTTACCAGAAGAAGCTAAGAAACTAATAAACGTCACGCTGTTCGACTTCCCCTTTTGACTCCGGTAGAGAAGGGCGTGAAGCAAGAAGACGCTATCTCCTTGAATCCTTACTGCATATTTGGAACTGCTGTTCAGGAGAATGAACTGTAAATGTGCGATTAGCACCAACGATGAACAGCTCAGGCACCTAAGGTTCGCTGATGACGTGGCGTTGTTGGCAGAAAGCGCCAGTCAACTAAATGACATGCTGCTAATGCTCATGAGAAAGACTGCATAAGTCAGATTGCGAATCAATCTGTCAAAGACCAAGATATGACGATCCAGAGGCCCCGCCAAAGGTCCAGCTGATATTAAACGGTAAGAAGATCGAAAAAGACAATAATACATTTAAATGAGTCAAGAGATCAACATACAGAAAAATCAAGATGGAAAAATCAACGGAGAAAGAGAAGCGGTTGGCGCGCGTTCCAGACCATCGAGGACGACCTTTTCAACAAAGTGAGGAAAGATACCCATGCTGATCATATTATGTTCTATGGCTGAGACATAGTTACTGACGAATGCTGAAGAGCGCCAGCTGTCTGTCACCGAG